CTTTTTTTTTTTTTTTTTTTTTTTTTCCCATCTACCTCCAGGTCTCCCTACAAAATGTTAAATGGGAGAAGGGAAGCTAAGATATGTACAGTTTGAATAATGGAATACTTTATTTTGGATGTTTCCTGATTTATTTTTTTTTATTTTTTTTTTTAACAGATGACAATGAAGAGACTGAAATAAGTGAAGAGACAGGTGAGTACGTTATATTTTATGCTAAAACATTTAATTTTGAGAAGGGTGAAACAAACTGGAAGGGTTCTTAAAACAAATATTGTTGGTTGTGATATGCAGTGCCAATCATTTATTGCTATTGTTACAATAATCATCTTTAGTTTTTAACAACATAGGGAAAATGATCCCTGATAGTATATAATGCTTATTAAGAATGGCTGAAACCAACTTTTTAGTATCATCTTTTGTGAGCTTTTTTTGTTAGTATTTTGTTTGAACATGAATGGGAAATAATTAGAATTCTACAGTCTGTTCGCAAAAAGGTGTGGATACAGCAATTCTTGAGTCGTTTGCAATTGTGATTAGTAGCTGTGATTTGTTTGCAATGACAGCAGTGGCAAAACTCTCCAGCAAACTCTGGAATAAATGGAATGTCATTGGATGATATTTCAAAGAATTCATTTCCATGGAGTCCACTAATTGACTATTGGAGTACTCATCTTGCTACCACTTGCCAGTTACACATCAGCCAATTTTCAGCTCAACTAATGGTGCAGTTGTTCAGCCAACGCTTTTTAGCATCTCAGAATGCTGCAGTATGTAGTACAAAAAGCTGTACGAAAGTGTATTGTATACACTGTTCTCCCCCTGTTCCAACAGGACGTGCTACGTGTTTTTTCCATGGACTGAAGTCAGAATGACAGCCTGTATTTCCCTTCATCCTGTTCCATGTCTCTCTTGTAGTGCTAGCCTTTTACCAGCAGTCAGGGACTTTTTTTTCTTAATAGATGATAAAAATGCAGTGCTAACATCACATCAACCAGCTCTTCCAGCACATTCAGGTGTATCCCATTTCACCTAACTAGCACACCTAGTTCCTCGAAGCTATTGTTAGCCTACTGCCTTTCTGCTGCTCCTATTCTTCTTAAACTCCACTTGTATGTATGGGACCTCGGAACGGGCTTTGCTCATAAGCTGAGCACCTCTAACTTTCATTTTGTCTATTACTAGGTTGCCTCTTCCATTCACCAGCTGAGAAATACTTTCAGCTAGCTTTTGCTCTTGACATGTTTGTCAGATCCCTTCATGTTATTCCCTGTGTTCCTACCTAGTTTTAACTGCTACTGGTATGCAAATTCAGCCTTCCTGATTCCATCCCTGGGTACTTTTCTACACTCCTTTTGTTGCATGTCACTCACAATGACTTTGTGTTGTAATTCCTTGACCTAGATCTTAGAACATCCCGGGTTGGAAAGAACCCACCAAAGATTACTCAGTCCAACTCCTGGCTCCACACAGAACCACTCAAACTTCAAACCTGAGAGCGCTGTCCAAATGATTCTTATGCAAGTGAGCCTTCTGCTGACATCCCATCTTTCAGCACAAGTTGGGTTGTTCCTCACTCATCAATTCCTGGAAATCCTTCTTTGTGCCATCTCCTCGGGCCATTCCGTCTAGTGAGCAGAAAGTTCCTTACTCTGCTCCTTATCTTCCCAGCCTTCCCTGAAATCAGTCACCTGATGTTTCTCAAAGCCTGGCTTTTCGTCTCTGGCCATGTTTGTTACTGATTCTCCCATGTTTGAGAGTAGTAAATCAAGCCGGGTACCATCTGTGACAGTGCATGGATGTATACTACCTCTCAGGTCTCTGTGACCCTGATCCCATCATAGCCCAGTGAATATGATGTGTTGGAATTTCCAGTTATTTGCTTTGTGAAAGGATATGAGATCAGGAAGGAGAGCCACTTGGAAAAAGGCAGAGATATGCCAGCCAGAAAGCAGAGGTAAAAGCTCTTGAAGCACTGTGTTGGCTGCTTAAACTGGCAAGATTGTCTTGAAGACAAATGGATTATGATGATTTATGCAACAAGTTAATTAGCTTAGAAATTATAAATTCTTTAATAACAGTGGATATGCATAAATGTGCAAACATGGATATACACAGATAGTTATGTGTTACTGTGATGGATTAACACATTCTTTTATGGCTTTCTGGACTGTTGGTTTTATTACATATAATTGTAATTACTTTTTGGTGTCAAGATTACTGGATAGGAACTTTCAGAGATTTTAATACAATTAGTGTGATTAATATAGTTGTACATCTATACATAAAAGAAGGAAAATGAAGATTGTCCTTATACAACAAACATTTGCCAAAGATTGCCCTCAGTTGAATTTTCAGTATTCATCTAACATTTCCAATTTCATTTTTTACGGTAATGGCATGCATGTTTTTATAAGTCAATTATTTTGCATTTTTTGTCTTCTTGCTTTTGTGGAGATTATGCAAATTACATTGTTGTTTTTTTTTTTTAAGCATTTAAAATTACAATTAAAAGGAAGTATATTTCCACTCAGTAGCCATTCTTTTCTTTTTTGCAGAATAAATAAATATATCTTGTTTTATCCTTCATGAATTTAGGTGAAGCTGCATAGCTGCTCTGGGAAATAATCACTGAATTAAGTCGTTTGAAGAAGATATTTCCCTACATACCCTCTTCCTTGTGCATGTAATACAGATGAGATCATAGTTGATCTCACAGGCTTGTTTGTAGGGTACGATGAACATCAGCAACATGTACTTAGTTATTCTGTTGTGATTTCAAGATATTTTGGGAATCAGCACACTGACAGTCATGAGTCAGTACCTACAGTGACCAAACAAATGTATTTACTATAGCTAGTCCAGAAATGGTTGGGAGTTTTGTCGTTTTGACCTCCTTGTGTACGGTTGTGGTTTAACCTAACAGGCGGCTGAACACCACACAGCCTTTTGCTCACTCGTACCTCTCAGTGGGATGGAGGAGAGAATCTGAGAAGAAAAAAAAAAAAGTGGTAGAACTCATAGATTGAGAGAAAAACAACTTACTAAAAAAGGAAGAGTGAAATAACAGTAATGATGATTTAAAATATGTGTATGTCTTTACAAAACAAATGGTGCACAAAACAATTTCTCACCACCCACTGATGCCCAGCCAGTTCCTGAATAGCAACAGCCCCCTTGGTCAACTTGCCTCAGTGTTTGAGTTTTGTCATATGATGCCATATGGTATGGAATATCCCTTTGGCCTGATTGGATAGGCTGGTTCTGTACTCTCTCAGTTCCTTGTGCCCCTGCAGCTTTCCCTCACTGGCAGGACGGCATGAAAAGCTGAGTAAGTGAAATGTCTTTGGCTCTGTATAGCCCTGCTAGGCAACAACTTACATAGGTGTGTTTTCTCCTAAAGCCAAAACATAGCATCATGCCTGACACGATGAAGAAAATCAACTCTGTCCCAGCTGAAGCCAAGACTGGGTATGAACTTTTTAATGATCATAGACGCATTTGCAGAAGTTATAAATGCATATTTAATTTCTGCACTGAGGGGAGTTTTGATTTTTTTATATTCAGGTAGCTTAAAGTTTGAAAGAGTTCAACTTTTCACAGTTCTGAGGGAAAAATTGAGTATCAACATCTAGTTGCCACTTCAGGTTCTTAATTGAATAATCACTCTTCATTCCACTTGACTTCATGGGCCATGACTCCAGCAGATGGAATCAGCAGTTGGCACTAATATTGATGATCCTGTTTTGTTGAGCTGTCCATATCCTGTCTGCTTTGGGGTTATTTCTCCAGTTCTCATGCTTAAAAAAAGCTACCTTTTTAAAAAAGTAAAAGAACATCTGGGTTATGGAGAGCACATGGAGCACATGTTGCAGACTGCATGTCGTGTAGACCTCTGGCAGAGATTCAAATATTCTAAATTTCAGCTAAATCTCTGTGCCTACAGTTCGTTGTTGGTTGGGTGTTTCTGAAGGGCCAGTATCTAGCCAAAAGAAAATAGGGAGAAGCAGGGGGACTCAAATGAGACGTAGATTCATATCTGCACCAATTTCAGCGTGAAGAATGTAGTAGAATACTGCAGACTTTACAGAACCAGTCCTAATTAAAACCCGGTGGCAAGAGATAGAGGAAAAAACCTGATTTTGGTTTGGTGTCGGCTAATGTTGGTGGGAATGTGTTCATTAGATGCTAGATTAGAGCTCAGGTACAGCTAAAGAACTATCTGGGAGTAAGAAGTAACACATGACCTTATTTTGTGTGTACCTTGTTGAGTGATGTACGCATTATGAAAGTAATCTCTTTCTTCTGTTTCTACCACCCTGAAGTACAAATATGGTGTTGTTAGTAGAAAGGCTTTTTTTAGAAAAGAAACCGTAGGAATAAAGTATTAAAATAATATTAATTGCATGTCTGCCAGGTAATCTCTATTAATATCTATGTTAATACTGTAAAATCAAACAGACATGAATGATCATTTTGATGAGTCAATCACGTAACATCACTGCATATTTTGGATATGCTAGAATAAGAAAAATATTTAGAAGTAATAATAACCCAGTGTTAGTAAATATACACACTCAAGACTGCTTTTCTAATAGCATTTAACTTGCAAGGGTTTAACCCATGTGTTTGTTATTCTGGATGCTGTTTCTTGTTGCAGCTGCTAGCTGAACTGCACCACTTAATTCAGAGAGTATGGCTACTAATACATTTCATACAGCTTGCTGTTAGAATAGCTTGAGCCAAAAGAACAGATTCAGTAATGCCAGGTACAGACTAATGCACTTCTAGATCTCGGCTTTGAGTAATACCCTTCGTAAGCAAAAAGAAGGACCGTATGACCTAACAGCCTTGTCTTCTTTTAACTTCACTGTTTTAATGCTGCAGTCATGATGCTTAATGCTTTAAGCTCCATTAAGGGAAGATTATTCTAAACTTTAACTTCAGAAGGACTTGGCTTTTATATCCATAACTTCACATACCTACTCGTAGAAGCGTGCAAAATAAGCCCTAATACTGCCATAATTATGTGCGCAATTGCAGTGATTGCATCTGGAAATTACAGAACCGTGTGCTATTATGAGAAGCATAGTCCAGATACACAGAAATGCTGCATTATTATGCACTGGCATAAGTTAATTCTCTTTCCATAAAACTAAAACAAACAAAACAAGGCACAAAAAATCCCATGCTAAAGTGTTTCAGTTCTGAAGCTGTTTTCTCCTCTTTGGCTTCCCCCCTCCATGTTGTACCAAGGCCTTTTGACCTCATCCGAGTAAATGTTGCCACCCACCTGTTGTATATCTCATCTAATAGTTGCTCATGTGTGTTGCCCTGCTTGTTATGCCATTTCTGCCCCAAGTGTCCTACTTAGCCCACTGGATAGTTACTCCAGAAGTGACAGCCTGCTATAGGATGTCAGACCAAAGGATCTCATTGACACTAACGAGAGAAGGCCAACTATAAACAATGCCATATAAACGCTCTATTTCCTTGTGCGTTCCACTGTGTACGCACACAGGTTTGGATACTTTTTACTTTGGAGGGAGACTTGGAGGAAAATAGGAAACACTTGTAGACAGCAAGGCTTTGTAACTGTGAGGGATTTTTGAAATAGCTTACTTTGAGAGAAACTGTCAGGTTTAAGTGGTTTGTTAACCCTCTGAATTAGCCTTCAAGTAGGAATGATGTCTCCCAGTGTTAGAGCTCAGAAACCTGATCATGATTAGAAAAGCTTTGAAGATGATTGGTTCAGACACCTATGTAGGTGTTCTGTTTTTAAACAGAGATTGGCAAGCAGGATTCTGTAGTATTTGGCTATTTGCTATGAAAGACATACTACTGTAAAGCACAAAGGGTGAAGAGTTGTATTTTGACCGCAACAAAAGTCATTATTTTGAATCTTGAAGGGATCCCTTTCTGTCTCTGAAGTGAGGGAAAATTGCTAAATAAATAAATAAATACAAAGCCTCTGCGTCCTTTAATGAACGTGAAAAGATTCTGTATAGAGTGAAGAAAGACCATTTATTTTGACAGGGTAACAGCCTCCTCCCTTTCTGTCTTTCTGCTGACAATTAAGATGTTGGTTATACTATTTAATGTATTGAGATACTCACCAAAGACCTGGCTGGACACTTGCACTTAAGTTTGATTGACATTTGACTTTTGGGCTTGGAGGAAGGTTTGCTAGATGATAAAAATTGTCATTGGAGGGGTGAGTGTTGACTGAAAGGCTCCTATTGATTTGGTCCCCCGATGTGAATCATTGTTAACCCAAAAAGGGAAAAGCAGGTAGTGCAGAGTGGCATTAGAACCAAAGAGGCCATCCGTCAATATGGTCAATTACAAATTTTCAGGTTATTTTTAAAGAGAATGGGAGAGTGCTGGCAGGAATAAATCTTTAAAAGCCTGGTTATTTTTCGGGATCTCACTTTTGCATTGAGCTTCTTGCTGAACATCATTACTGCTCTTGAATAACCTCTGTAAAAGGTTGACAAAGTGTGTATTTCATGTTTTTTGCCTTTTCCCCACAGCTTTACTTATGGTTGCTTCTATGTTCTCATGAGCCTAGAAATAAATAGATCTTAGCACTTTGATTTCATCTAAATATTGTAATTGAATCTCAAATTCAGATGAACAAATGTGATGACATGAACATGGTCCTCTGTGAAGTGCTGTCAGGATAGTTCTTCTTCCTGATGGCAAGCTAAACATCAAAGTGTCTTCTACACCATTTATTTACTGATCTGTAAAGGCCCTTTGTGCTCTGAACAGTACGGAGTTGTATATACAGAAATTCTGTGCTGGAAGCTATTTTTAAGGACAATATTCAGTTTGGGCTTTTGGACCTAAAATATAATGTTCACTCCTTAGAATTAAACAAATGAAACTAAATTCAACTGCTCACGTGCAGATCTTCATTTTAGAGTTTTGTTAACGTTTTGAGCTGTAGCTTATTGTAAATTCTTGCCATCTTCTAAGTTCATAGCTGCTCTTTCAGGACTTCAGTGCAGCAGAGAACCAAGGCTCCCAGGAGGGCAGGCAGAGAATGTTTCTGAGTAGCTTTCTGGGTTCCGTGTGGAGCCAATGGTTTCTCTCTCCAAAGAACATAGCATCCCTTTCACACTGCAAGTTCCATTTTCACATCCTTCTTTATTTTCATACCCATGTTTGGAAAATTTTAGCAGTTGGATTCTCTATATGTATAGAGATACATGTGGGATATGGAAGTGTAGGATCTATAGCTATCAGCAGAGCTGAGTCTTTATGAGGAACTGTGCATCTTGTTGCTGAGAGCTTTTTACGTATCCAGCAACATAAACAGTAGATGATTGTGTACAACAGCAGAAGAGATCAGATTGTTCAGAACTTTAGGCAATTTATAATACACGTGTACATTTCTTCCTTCTTCTGTTGTTTTGTTGTTTTTTTTTTTCTAGTTGCTAATTAACTAATGGAGTTGAGGTGATTCTTTGTTTCAGCGTGGCAATAGGCCTAAATCTAGAAAGGCCATGTGCTTTCCTAAGTTATCTGGTTATAAGTATTCAAGATGTCTTTTCAGCATGCACGTAAAATCTGTTTTCTTTAGGTTTCTTCCTCTCTCAAGCCCTCAGCTGGCCATAAGGAATTGGGTGGTCTGGTGGAAAGTCAAATGACAAAAAGGCATTTTCCCATCGCTGCTGAATACGTTCAATGCATGCAATTAATTGAGTTTCAAGCATCTGCTGTTCTCAGCTTTCAACCCAGAATTTGGTTAAGCAACCATTTGAAGAATATTCTCATTAGTGAGCCTTCTTTCAAATGTCTTAATTTACGAATACCTTTTATGATTAATTTCCAGCTTGGCTTTCCTTCTGTGCTAGTGGGCTTTCTGTGCTACCTACAGGTCTGTCTTAGGAAGCTAACAGTAACTTGATGCTTATGTTAAAAACTCTGTTTAAGTTGTATAAAACCTCTTAATTTTTAAAAAGAAACCATCTAATATTAGGTGCTGTGAACTTCACTTACTTAAACTTCACTGCATCAGTTTCTCTTTTACTCAGAAGGATTTCCTTTTCCTTCATCTTCCTGTTGCTTTCTGGCTAATGGGTTGGAAGCCTTTTTTTTTTTTTTTTTTCCTCCAAACAGAACATTTCTATCTCATAAAACTTTCATTTCCTTAACTTCACTATCAAACTTGATTCTCAGCCTCTCATTTCATTACCCATTTCAGTCAATATTCATTTGTTACTGTGTTATTACATCGAATGGAGAATTGAGCTGAGAGGGAATCATTTCACAATTCTATAATACGGTTTAACATATATTACATTAAAAATTGCAAATTAAAAATTATAAACTTTTCTTTTTCTGAAGATATTAAGAGCTTGTTAAGAAGTAGGACGTTTTAACATGATCTTTCTTTCCTGCTGTTGTGGCAAAGTTAGGCAAAGTCCATTGCAAGCTGAAAGATACTTTTTATGATCCTTTTCTAGCGTGTGATGCAGTAATTAATTTTCATAAGAGAAAGATAGATATCGGGTGCTGAATGGAGCACTGAGATAAAATGTACTCTCGGTTGTGATATCACGTATGGTAAAGTTTGATATGATAACACTGTTTCAAAATATAATATATTCACTATTTTCTTTTTATGTTTTAAAGAAGGACTGGAACAAAAAAGCCAGCCTCTGTCTCCCACAAAGTGCAAGGCAGAGCAGGCTGAAGATGTGCAAGATGATGTTGAAGGTAGGTGGTCTGACTGCTTTTCAGAGCTATTACTAAATTTTACATCTTGGGGGAAAGTTCTTGAGGAAGAAAAAGAAGTCACAGAATCAGAGAATGGCCAGGGCTGGAAGGGACCTCAAGGATCATGAATCTCCAACCCCCCTGCCACATGCAGGGACACCAACCTCCCCATTTAATACTAGACCAGGCTGCCCAGGGCCCCGTCCAGCCTGGCCTTGAACATCTCCAGAGATGGGCATCCACCACCTCTCTGGGCAGTTGTTCCAGCACCTCACCACTCTCTCTATAAAGAGCTTCCCCCTGATATCCAACCTAAACCATCCCTCTCTCAACTTCAAACCATTTCCCCTTGTCCTGCTGTTATCTACCCTTTCAAAGAGTTGACTCCTTCTAGTTTGGAATATTTTTATTGAAATGGAATAATGTTACTTAAAAATGTTATTTGCACACATTTGGAATTCATTCTGGTCTCAGTCATGAGACTGTAATTCTTCTGGGGTGTTTTTCATCTCAAGGTAGATTTAGATTTACAAATGCAATTTTTACAGATTATTGCTGATATAAAATGGACAAATGTTGCTGTTTTATGTCTAACCTGTTCTGATTTTACATAATTAATAATATAAAATGTAAGGTTGCACAGTGTTTGCTTCACGCTCATTGCTTAAGCTGCTCAACTAAATCAACTACCCACAGCAATACATAGATCAATAAAATTCTTGCTTTCTTCCTCTACAAGAGAATTTTACTATGTCCCTTTGTACTCCACTTGTGTTGGTGTTTATGGTTTCAGATCTTATGCGCTGTGCTACGTGTTTCCATGGTCAGAAGTCACAGATGCTTACCATTATGCCTGTGTTGTTCTGAAAAGTGCTTTCCTGCATTTGAGTTTTTCTGAGCACAGTCCACGTCAATCTAAAATTGGATCAAAGTATCTTTTCCTAATGTGTATCTCATTGGTAGAGCTGCTAAAAGATGTTAACATCAAAGATGTAATTTTCAATGTAGACTTTGACTTTGCTCTTCAATTTGTGGAAGAACAAAATGCTCAAATGCTAGAGAATTCCCCTTAGGTGAAATAGTTAAAAGGATGAACCTTAATCTTTAGTCCATGACAGTTCCTTATCATGGATTCTCTTTGACCTAATGTTCCCTAAGTGACACATCTCATTCTGCACCTCAACCGGTGGCTCCATGTCCTTCATCATTTTGACCTCGCTCTGTGCTTTCAGCTCCTAAAATATTCTGACTAGGGTGTAGTGTGAGTCATAAAGAGCAGAAAAACGTTAACATCTATCACTTTAAGTAACTGCTAGTAACATCCTGTCACTAACATTGTGACTGGTTGTTAATGGCAAGTACTTAAAGCAATAGCTGTCATCGCCTGGAAGGTGTGGGGGGACCCAAGAAATCTCATCCTGACTGGTTGTCTTTTCTTTCTTGTTGCACTAAACCCAACTGAAGTTAAAATACCAGTGTATATTTGGATTAGAGAATTCTATGATGACAAACCACATGTCGACTTGTATGCAGGCTAAATGGGGTGTGGGATCATGGTGTCGTTTTCCATATTGCTAAGTATTCCATAATACATATACTGGAGCGTGACTAAAAGCCTTCATTGTGTCTTAAAAAGGAATAAGAGGCAAAAATAAAATAAAATATTGTAAGCTTTTCTTTCAATTGGAAATCGAGCTGATGTTGTTCCACTGCTTCCTTGGTTTACTGAATTCTGTCTCCTCGCTTGCTATTCCTGTCAGTGTTTTCCTGGTGACCTACAGTTCACTTTGTAGAGTACAAACAAACGCATTGGAAGGATGAAGTAAATAGCATGGCAATAGAATGATTGCATTACCCTCGAGCTGTAAAATGTCTGAACTCCTTGAATTTGATGCCGTACAGTAGATTTTTGCTGATGCAGAGTCGAGGCCTGTAACACATAATCACTGCTGCGGAATGTAATCTGGCTGGTGACAGACTCATCTTCTCCTTGGGCAGAAATCAGGCCTGTAGTGTTTAGAAGTGAAAGCCTTGGTTTTGATGTTGTGCTGAGAATAAAAGAAAGTAATTAAAGCGTTTGTTGAAGGGGGAGAAAACCAGATCAGATCACAGTAGAATTACCTGTGCCTGTGTTTTGAAGAATAGCTCCAGACACTGAGTTCCTATAGGGCTGCAGAGTGGGCAGAGTCTAATGTAGCACACCTGTGAATTATTTCTATTTAGGTAAATAGGATTTGCACGCATTTTTCTGAGAATAGAACTTAGTTTCTGTCATTCTAAATATTAGCTGTTGGTTTTGGCCAATGAAAGGAATTGCTATTGTGGAGCTTGGAAGATCAAGAAAGCTGTGTGTGTGTGACACGAACCAGAACTGCATGACCGTGAGTCTGAATGATTTTGTTTAGATAGGTAAGGCTTTGGCTTCCCTTCCAAGAGACTGCCTTTATTATTTTACTGTATTTTGAGGGATAAAAAAAAAGGTTTTGGGGTAGCTCATATGTATAAGCGGCCTCAAAACTCAGTAAAGCCGGTCTCTGGCGGCCAGCTTTGTTGAAGTTTCCTCGTGGTGAAACTGAAGTGCTTTGTGTTCAGGGTGTTTGAACCTTCAGGTGGTTTGCATACTTTATGTACCAGAAATTAAAAAAAAAAGAGAAGGTATTAGCAATAAAAGCCAGTCCAAAGTGACTTACATTTACCACAAGATATTATTTTCTCCTTCATTCCATTACTACATATAAAATATTTAACAAATATACACTGAGGCCCAGGAAGAACTTAATGTTTTTTCCTCCTCGTAGCCGCCAGCATCCCTTTACACCACAGGTGGGAATACAGCTTGCTGCTTTTGCAGCCTACTGTCACACGTGTCCTCATGGCATCCTGTAGAAACTATTCCATCGAGTGCACAAATACTCCCTCAGTTGTATCTTTGTACAGCAAGCCAAGCTGGTTCATTGGCTAGAGGTAACGGAGCAAAACCTTTTCAGTGCATCTTAAAATCTCTGCAGAAGATCACAGAAAGTAGGCTCCTTCATTTCTGTCCTCTCCAAAATCAAGGGAAGTTGAACAAGTGGCTGTATGTAAGGAGCTTGTTTTGCAGTAAGCTAAGATAAACACTTGACATGCTAATGAAAGCAATTTTGTACAGAACCTCTGAAGTATTAGTGGTGTCTGTTATTATGCTATTAGATATATTGTTCTCTGCCTTCGGTCTGTTGATAGCAAAAAGCAAGTGTGAACTGCATAGCAGATTCTCCTGCCACTTGTTGTATTCAGTAGTTTTTCATTCTAGTGCAGGTTATTGTCTGGAGAAATGAATGGTCTGGATGCACGGGGGATCGTTCTTTACTGCCAGGTTTTACATGTGCAAGCATGTAGAGTTATTTAGTTCTTTCTTCATGTATTTCCCTGGGTCCTGCTGTCTGGGAAAAAGAAGCCAGTGGCAATATTGCCTTTTCCATGGTCAGGTGCACTTGGTGAACTCCAAGGTTCACCAAGGAACCGAGGAAAATGTTTTTCATACTAAAGCAAATTCGGTGTGTCTTCAGTAACTTCATAACACCATCATTAAATAATGGCGTAGACAAAATGGCAATACTTGTCACAGCGTTGCTATCATGAGATGGCAGTAATGCCAAGGGTTGTATTTTCATCCTTCTGATCCCTACCAAGTAACATCAGACTGTCTTTAAAGAAGGCTAATGAATCTCAAAATGTTACTTCTCTTTTTCTCCCCTAATGGCCTCCTTTGTAGGCTGAACAGTGAGATGCATGCTGTAGGTTTTCTTGATACTGGGAGAAGCAAAACTATTTGCCCTTTTGTTTCTGAATTTCTCAGTGAGATATAAAATGGAGCCTGTCCAAGAGCTGCCCCATCTATTCCCTCCATGGTCTGCAGGTGATCAATACTGTATCAAAGATGACTAACACAGCCAGCAATAGCAGCATAAATGCCTGATCTTTCTCTTCTTCCAGGAAGAAGAGAATCAATCCATGCAGCAAAAGCCATTGCTATGCCTTTCCAAGGTCAGGATCCTGCTTGTTCTGCTTTGAGGGGTGTGAAGACAGAGCTGGAGCTCTGCAAGTTATCTCACTTCAGCTTTTCTCCTGAGCTTCTCCCACAATGAAGTGCTAGGTTCTTCCTGATAGATTGATGGGCTGTTGGTCTCTAATGATCCCCTTATCTGAGACCCAGTGTATGTGTGAGGAGCTAGCATGTTGGAATTGCTCATCTGGGATGAACTTTGTCTGCTTTCTGTTCACCTGGTGGGAAGGAGAATGGTTTGATGGATAAGCCAAGCCAGGAAGGTCAAAAGGAGCACAAATCACCTTGGTGACAGTTGGTAGAGTTTGTTCCTTTGCCTGATAGGGTCATTGCACTACTGACCTCTTAGCTTTCAAGGGCAGCATCAGGTTTCTGAAATGCTGTTCATCAGCATTGGGATGCAGGGCTCGTTAGCAAGATCTTGTATTGCTCTGAATCTGAATTGTGCTGTGTCTACAGGAGAAGTCACCCATCTGATTTGAGTATGCACTAGAAATGAGGACAAGTAGAGGTGCATCTTACCTCAGCAGTGCTGTGGTTCAGCAGGTCATGGCTGTTAGGAAGGATGCTCAATCTGAGGGGGACACCCTTGTTTCTTATTCCTTTTCCAAGAAAGGTTTGTCAGTTGACAAAAAATGCATAGTTTTGGGATTAGCAAGTAAGACTGATTTTTACAGCTTAGTCCTTTAGTTGCAACATTAATGTAAGACTTCTCCTTCCTTCTTCTTTACAGCACAATTTTTGCAGCTTTGCTGCTCGTTGCCTGGTTTCATAGAGAGTAGGATATAATATATTCAATGGCAAAAGTCATAGAATCATTAAGGTTGGAAAAAAACACTAAGATCATCTTGTCCAAGCCCAACCCCACCACACCTACCAACCATGTCCTTCAGTGGCGCATCGCCACAGCCCTGGAACACCTCCAGGGACGGTGACCCAGCCACCCCCTGGGCAG